TGAGCATTGTCTTGGCAACGTCCCTATTCCGTATGGCAGCTGAGGCTCTACGGAAGAAGAAAAAAAAAGATTCCAGCCACTGCAATAAGTGGTGCTGTGCCTTTCAATCCATGTAATAAATAAGTGGACGAGTTTTAAAGGCTAATTTTCGCAGCTGCATAGCTGCTATGGGCATGGGAAAGATCGGGTACACGGATGTGAGGACAGTAATTGCCGTTGCCCACTTCAACCGCATGGGGCGTTAATTTAACCCGCTTACATCAAGAGACTTCTAACTTAATCACTTCTGAAAGGTTGATTAAGTCCATCGCATCCACTTGTCTCTTTAGCCATCCTTTTTGCCAATCCAGCGTAGCATTCGTGCGGGTTGAGCCTCACTTCATGATATTTTGTTGAGTCCAACGATGATGGAGAGAAGAAATTAGTTTTTCTAGTTGCAGCTACGAGGCTACGAGGGATATGAAAGAGGAGAAAGGGTGACAACTTTTTCCATTCCTTGACATAAGTCGACCTGTTCTTGTCGCTGAAATCAAAAATTAGTAGTTTGCACATAATGAAAGGCGATTTTATGGAGACACTGTCAACGATTATTGCGATTTAAGTAACTTGGATTGCATAATTCGGCAAGATGTAAAGGATAAATGGAAGATAAAGAGAGAGTTGGAAAAGATGATATTAAAATGCAGAGTAAAGCCTTTTTTTTTCGAACGTGGCGAGGCGGGAACGACTAGGCAAACAAACAATAAAGATATATTTTTTTTTTTTTTACACGAGAGGAAAGCAATGAGGCTTGTTGATGTTTGAGTTCTCCCGCCTCTTCACCACTTCCCTCATCCACCCACAATTCGCAACCACTATAAGCCAGCCGTTGGATGTGTTAGGCCCTGGAAACCTCCGCAAACAAAAAGTTGTCTTAACAATTTTAACTAAAAATCTTTTTTCCACTCCAGTGAAGGACATGGCTCAGATTCACAATCTAGTGACAACAAGACGCTGCCAGGGATGCAGCGAAAGGTTAAACTTTCAGCCTTCAACCAATCCCATTTTCCCTTCCCACACAAACACATTCTGTTCCAGACGGAGACTGAACAAATGTAAGGAAAAAGGACAACAGCAAGTGAACCAATTGTCTGGAAGGCACTTCCTTAATGTGCATCCTTGATGAACAACTTCTTGTCAAGCTTTTGGTGCTTGTCGCTGTTCCACTTCTTTTTGCCTCTTCTTCTTCCTCCTCCTCCACATTCATTCCTCCTTTGGGTAAGGAGTTGTGCCGTGTCAAAATGCCAAAAGATAATTCTCATTAGACTTATTTTGTTTGCTTGCTGAAGGTGTTGTCCAATGTAGATGGGGCTCTACAAGTCTTCTTTGTTCAGTACGTCATTTTGGCCAAAATCGCACTAACTCCATCGACGAAAAGGAAAGAGAAGGCGTCAAAGAAGCACGCGGGTTTCCTCCCCTTGCAAATCGGTGAGATTAGTGGAAGTAAGATTTGGGTGAGATGCGCATCGCTTTCCACCTGCCGCCGTCTTCATGGAACAGAGTTCCGACAGCCCTTTTACTCCTCAGGAGCAAGGTTTCAAGACTGCCTTCATCCACGTATTAAAGAAGGAAATTGGACGCCATTACTGGAGGAACTGGCAGGGTAATTGATGAAAATGGTGAACCATTCAAGGAACACATTTTGCTCAAAGGTGTTGCTGTGCTAGTCCTCATTTCACCCTCCACTTCTGACGCTCCTGACAATTGTGCTCCTTTGGCCGTGACGATCGCAGGTTCACAGGTTGCAAGAGCGTGGCAACTAGATGAGAGCTTCGTCGCCCCTCTCTAGAGGTCATCGATTGTGCTTTTGACGGTGGAGAATTTCTAATCTAAAGCTATGCTCCTTTGTAGTTGAAGGAAGCAGGAACTACCAACAGGTCCTGCTTTCAACAAAACTCGTAAATGAAGTAGAAAACTACATTGTATTTAGTTAACGTGTGTGATGCAAATAACCTCTGATAGAAGGGACAAACAATCTGTCACTTATTTATTTGAAAACGATGACAACAGTCGAAGATTGAGGCATCAGGATGGGGGTGATTCCTACCACTGTAATATCCTCGCGAATCACTAAAATACCCCAAATAATGCCTTTTATTTACTGCATGGGGATTGGAGACAAAAAAGTAAAGGAGGTATGAAATTCCTACCTTGTCCATTTCTCAACATAAGTTTTGCTATTCTCGTCGCTGAAATGAAAAAAGTAGCATTGTTTATTGGTTTGAATTTGATATCGGCATAAACTTACGATCAATTAACTTGGATCGCAGATATTTCTTTTGCTTGTCGTCGTCGTTGTTAGTGTTCGATTTTTGACCGTCTCCACTCTCCTCCTTTTCCTCCGTTTCCTCCGTATTCGAGAGATCCCTCCTCGTTTGCTTAATTAAACCCTTTGAAATCAAATAACGAGTATTTTAAGCGCACAAGTGAGCTTGTGGGGATTTGGAACTTTTTGAAGTTAGCAAACTAGGAGGCAGACGTAAAGGAATCAGTGCTGCAAGGCTATTCAAGTGACTTCGCCTTCCAACT